GTGGCTCACACCAGTAATCCTAGCACTTTAGGAGGCCGAAGCGGGTGGATCACCTGAACTCAGGAGTTCAAGACCAGCCTGGGCCACATGGTGAAACCCCGTCTCTACTAAAAACACAAACAATTAGCTGGGCATGGTGGCGGGCGCCTGTAATCCCAGCTACTCAAGAGGCTGAGGCAGGAGGACCACTCGAACCAGGGAAGCAGCAAGGTGCAGTGAGCCGAGGTCCGCCACTGCACTCCAGCCTGGGTGACAGAGCAAGACCCTGTCTCAATATAAATAAATAAATAAGCCCCAAAGAAGTTATGATGTACTTCTCAAACTCTATACACAGATACATCGCCTGAGCATTAAGATGTAGATTTGAATTCAGTGTCTGGCGTGGTGTTTCTGATACCAGGCGATGCCACTGCCACTGCTGCGATGCCACTTTGGGTAGCAAGTCTGCAGAGGAATAAGGAATGGTTCTGGGAAAAACTATTGGTTTGCGCATTAGTCAGGGTTCTCAAAAAAAAAAAAAAAAAACAGAACCAACAGAAGACATAGACAAACATATACACACACACACACATCTCTATATATAATGTCAACCAAAATTAAGACTGAAATAATTTGATAAAGGCTTCTTGGAAGCCAAATGTGAAGACTGATGATGGGGCAAGTCACATCAACAAAGCTGGGAGTGTTCTGGAGTCTGTTACAAGGTGTTTGGGAGAAGGGGAGACTCTTCATACCGGGGTTGTCCTTTTCCATTAGAGGGTGCAATACAGAGGTTGTAAGAACTGGCTACAGATTGCAACATACAGGCTGAAATGTCCCCCTGAAAGACAATCAGTGAAACTTTATGACTCAGAAAGAAAGCAGCATACTTTTCCATTGTCAGTGGGTTATGCATTCATCAGTACATCAACAATCTAAGGAACTCGTGACAAGGTTCTTTACCCAGGGAAAAGATGTTGCCATGTATCACAAGACCCTCCCAAGGAAGGGTAATTTGGCTGCCTGTGTATTTTTTTTTCTTTTTTTGAGACAGAGCGTTATGTCACTCTATTGCCCAGGCTGGAGTGCAGTGGTGCGATCTCGGCTCACTGCAACTTCTGCCTCCTGGGTTCAGGCGATTCTCCTGCCTCAGCCTCCCAAGTAGCTGGGATTACAGGCACCTGCCTGGGATTACAGGCCACCACGCTTGGCTAATTTTTTTGGTATTTTTAGTACAGACGGGGTTTCACCACGTTGGCCAGGCTGGTCTTGAACTCTTGACCTCAGGTGATCCGCCCGCCTCAGTCTCCCAAAGTGCTGGGAATACAGGTGTGAGCCACCATGCCTGGCCTATTTTTTTTCACACCTGGCCTTTTTTTTTTTTTTTTTTTTGAGACGGAGTCTTGCTCTCTTGCCAGGCTGGAGTGCAGTGGTGTGGTCCTGGCTCACTGTGACCTCCGCCTCCCAGATTCAAGCGATTCTCCTGCCTCAGACTCCCGAGTAGCTGGGAATACAGGCGACTGCCACCACATCCGGCTAACTTTTGTATTTTCAGTAGAGACGGGGTTTCGCCATGTTGGCCAGGCTGGTGTCGAACTCCTGACCTCAGGTGATCCACCTGCCTTGGCCTCCCAAAGGGCTCAGATTACAGGTGTGAGCCACTGCACCTGGCCCAAGATCTATTTTTGTATAAGCTGCCTCCTGTCCTTTCTTCAAAGAGGGCATCCACAAATAGATGACAGAAAAGAAAATAATTAAGTGCTAAACTTCTCATAGAGAGTGCAGAAGGCTAAACTTCATTCATTCAATAGATATTTATTGAGCACGTACTATGAGCTTCGCACTGTTCGAGAATAGAAGAGTGAATTAAATAGAATAGAGCAGTGAATTAAACAGGTCAAAGTCTAACCCTGAGGAAGTATCTGTTAGAGGGAAAGACCAGCTCAGGAACACAAGCGAGGCATGGCTGCCCAGAGTGCATGTGTAGGTATCTTCGTACTGGGGAAGACCATTTGCTGTAACCTAGCTATGTTTGTACTTAGTCAGCCTTTCAATAACCAGTGGGGAAGAAAATGTTGACTCTTAGTTGCAGCTAGGGTCATGTACTAGAAACATAACTTCTGCTCATTCTCCTGCCCTAAACCTTGATTCTGCCTTTGACCACTCCATTTTTCCCTTTAATGCCAATTTCATGTTCTCTTTAGATGTCAACAGTGCCCTCAGGAGACAAGATGTGAGAATACTTGGCCAGATGGCATTTGTCTGTATTTTAATCAAAATGCCCCATTCTCTTTGCCAGTGTGAAGCAGCGATGTACTGTGTAGGGCAGAGACAAGAAATAGTACAGAAGCCTGCGGCAGCTTTTTACATTTGCAAGGTCAAGAAAGGTACCCAGGCTGGGCGCAGCGGCTCATGCCGGTAGTCCCAGCACTTTGGGAGGCCGAGGTGGGTGGATCACGAGGTCAGGAGTTCGAGACCAGCCTGGCCAACATGGTGAAACCCCACCTCTACTAAAGATACAAAAAATTAGCCGGGCATGGTGGCACGTGCCTGTAATACAAGCTACTTGGGAGGCTGAGGCAGGAGAATCGCGTGAACACGGGAGGTGGAGGTTGTGGTGAGCTGAGATTGCCATTGCACTCCAGCCTGGGTGACAGGGTAAGACTCCGTCTCAAAATGAATAAAATAAAAGTACCCAAAGGCTGGATTGGCTTAAATCTGTCAACCTCAGTGGCAGCACCCAGCACTATGATTGTGGGAACAAAGCCTCCCACAGTCAGCTGTGAGCAGATTCTGAGAGCCAAAGTACTGACATGTTGAGGCAAGTGGGGTTCAGGGAGAAAGTGAATGAGAGAAAGGGCCCGAACAGTGGTTTCCTATGTATCTATCTCCTCCATGGGCAGTGAGTATTTCTCCTGCATTGTCTCATCCAGGTTTTTCTTTTTTTTTTTTTTTTGAGACAGTCTTGATCTGTTGCTCAGATTGGAGTGCAGTGGCCGGATCTCGGCTTACTGCAACCGCTGCCTCCAGGGTTCAAGCAATTCTCGTGCCTCAGCCTCCCAAGTAGCTGGGATTACAGGTGTGCACCATCAAGCCAGGCTAATTTTTGTATTTTTAATAGAGAAGGGACTTCACCATGTTGGCCAGGCTTGTCTCTAACTCTTGGCCTCAAGTGATCCACCTGCCTCGGCCTCAAAAACTGCTGAGATTACAGGCATGAGCCACCGCACCTGGCCTCATCCAGGTTTTTCAACCATTTAATGAAATGCTATTATCCAATGAAATGCTATTATCCTGTTTCTTACTCACTTAGCTGAACCCGATCAGCAACTTTGATGAGTTTGTACCACGTGCCATGCGTGACCTCTTTTTAACTGACTCCATAGCCTTACGGGCTAGGTGTTACTACTCTTATTTTAGAGATCAATAAAGTGAAGCTTAAGAAAGATTAAGTAACCTCCTCAGGGCTACAGAGCTGGTAGGTGGTGGAGCTCAGATTCAACCCAGCCGACCTACCACCAGGATTCTGCATCTCAAGTGCTTTTCAGACATCTTAGGCACAAGGCAATCAGATGGCTGCTGTGATGAGTCATCTGAAGCTCACCTTACAATAATGTCACCTCCTTAACAGAAGGACCCTAAGGCAGCAGCCCTCAGATGCGGCAGGGAAGAGAGATCCCATTACTCACCTCCAGGGAGGCCTCTAGTAACCTGCCACTCACAAGGACTCCCTACCCATCACACGCATGTCCAGTGGAAGCTGTTTATTTATTCAGTAAACATTATTAAATGCTACTATGTGCCAGGTACTCTTCCAAGCGCATTTTTAAAAAAATTGTTGTTGTTTTATTTTTTTGGAGACGGAGTCTCATTCCATTGCCCAGGCTGCAGTGCAGTGGTGCGATCTCGGCTCACTGCAACCACTGCCTTCCGGGTTCAAGCAATTCTCCTGCCTCAGCCTCCTGAGTAGCTGGGACTACAGGCACACACCCCCATGCCTGGCTAATTTTTTGTATTTTTAGTAGAGATGGGGTTTCACCGTGTTGCCCAGGCTGGTCTCAAACTCCTGAGCTCAGGCAATCTGCCCATCTCAGCCTCCCAAACTGCTAGGATTACAGGAGTGAGCCACCGCGCCTGGCCAGCACATTGTTAATATTAATGCATTCATCCTCACACCAACTGTCTGTGGTATGAGGCACTATTGTTTTCTCATTTAAATAGGGAAAATGAGGCACGGAGGTCTGAAAGCTAGAAAGCAATGCGGCTTGAAATTAGGCAGCCTGACTCCAGGGTCTGTTCTTTTAAGGATGGCCAGATGGACTTCTAAACATCCTTAGGGAAAAACTCTCTACTCATTTTCAAATATATGTATTTCCCCTAGATGGTGGCCTGTAACAGGTCAAGAAATGGCTCTTTGTCCTGGGATGAAAAGCTTCGCAAGGGAATTATTCTCCATTCCAAGATGTTGGCTGAAATGAGGCTGGTTTTGGAAGGGGTGTCTTTGGAAAATCTCTCAAATTTGACTTAAAAACCTCCCTGTAATACTGATCATGGAACCTGGTGGACGCATCCCTTCAAGAACTACCATGCTACCCATTCTTCTCAAACTGATGTTTTAGCAGCACTTCAAATCCTTAAAGCTCTTGCCTATAATTATAGCTCCTCTATAATTCATTGATTCCATGTTTTTCACTGCCCCAAATGTGCCAAACGCTGTGCTAGGGCTGGGATCCAGCAGGGAAGATAGATAAGATTCCAGCTTCCATGGAGGGCTGCAGTGCAACAGGCAACTTCAGCCCCGTGTAATACAGGCTGTGAGGGGAGTACAGGGGGGTGGAAGCACTGGTAGTGGAAACGTGACATCTAACCTTGACAGGGCACAGCAGGAGTTCAGCAACGCCTACTGCATAGATGCCTTGGCGGCCAAGCTGGGATCTGAAGAAGGGTAGGAATTAGTGAAGTGAAGGGAGGGGCTGGGGGTGAACAAGTTCTGGGGAAAGAAAAGAGACCCAGAGTTGAGTGCGCAAAATGGGATTTTTCTGCTTAGAAGGATCATTCTGCAAAGTGGAGAACAGATTTCAGGGGGCAAAGCCTGGGACAGAAGGACGATGGGAGTCCTTTACTGAGGCCCAGGTGAGAGAGGATGGGAGGAATGGGTTTGGAAGGTTAACAAAAATGGATGGGAGAGGGTTAAGGAGAAGGAGGAATCAGGGATGGCTTTCAATTTTCCAGTTTAGGTTTATCTTCCACAGCGTGGGCAATTCTTTTTGTTTTCAACAAGATCACCCCGGGCGCGCAGACCTTCCCAGCCCGTGGGGCGAACGTGTGTGTACGGAATCAAGGTCTAAGGAACATCCATCCCAGCCATTGTTGCAAACGGGGAAGTCTAGAGCTCTTCAGGACAGGAGGAAGCTCTGGCCTCGTGTAGGCAAAGGTTTCGCTCGAGGCTCTACCGCCAGCGTCTCCGTTTCCGCGTCCCCCACAACCTTGCGAAAGGTAAACTCCAACGGTCGTTTCCGGATTTTACAGAGGAGCCCAGGAAGTCTGCGTGAACCCTGCCCCAGTCACTTACTCTGCCCAGTAGGTGAACATGAGGCCCAAGCCCCACGCTGTGATTCCAAGTTCGTTTGCTGGGCACGGTAAGTGAACCCTGGGAGTCCTGGACTCTGGTGAAGGCCACCATGCCCTACCTGGAGGTTGGTCAGGGTCTAACATCCTCTGGCATCCACTGGAAGGGTCTGCGTTAGGATTTTTTTCTCTCGTAAAAAAGTTCCTGTCTCCCCCTAGAGCCGGGCACACGCCTCCCCAGCCAGACCACTTGTCCCAGGCACAACGTTTTTTGACTCTTCGCCTCCCCCGTTCCGATCCCCCTTCCTCTCCGCCTTAGGTGGCAGGAAAATCCTTTACCTCCGACCAATCCCACCGACGCCGAGCCGCGCGCGCGCGCCAACTCGAGCTCCGTCTGTGCACGCCATTGGCCACCTCCACCTATGCGGGGTGACGGGCAGCTTCGCGGACCTATCGCCGAGGGAGGCGGAGGCCTCCAGCCCTCCCAAAGCTGCTTTGTTAGGGGCTCCCTGGTCGTCCCCCGGCCCGCCGCGCCTCCGCTGCCTGCGGGAGATCTCCCCGGTCCCCGCTG